TTTCCTATCTAATTTAAGGGAAATCACGTATTGTAAACAGGCTGCAGAGTCTTGGTGGTTGACAAAAGGGAGAAGTTGATGAACAGATATGCTTGTACTGAACTGATATGCTGAACTAATATGATATACCAATGTTACAAAGTGCTATATGGTTTTTTTTTTTTTTTTTTTTTTTTGTTTTGTTCTGTTACTTTGGTTGGTTGCTTACTAACTTGGGAGGTGCTAACAAATGATTGTAGACACCCCATTTTTGACCGACCTTAAGACTCAGACGTCACTGATTGAGCGGTTGGTGATATTGCATATCGTGCTCGTTCAGAAGTTTCAGAGTCTCGGCTGCGAGCCCTGCCTCCAGATTTCTGAACCCTCTTCTATGCCTTGCCTCGGTTTGCGAACCAGACTTGGTTTTCTCTGTTTCTTTTCGTGAGGGGAGGGAGAGGTCCCGTAGACCATCTCTCAGTGGCCGTGGGCTACATTTTGTGGCTGTAGGCCATTTTGCCCATTTCGGAGCCTGGTTCCCGGTTTTCGGAGCCGTCAGGCCGTGTGCCTCGGTTCGGGACCGCTTAACCATCTCCTATTGCTCCGGTTTTTGGCATGCATCTTATTTACTCCCTTTTGAGGGACACTGAGGTCTGAGAGACCCACTTCGTGGTTGAATGCCATTTTCGGTGCTTAACAGGCAGTTTTCGGGGCCTCGAACTGCGTGTTCTGGCCCTCGAACATTCGTTTTGCATCGGTTTTTGTTCATTTTTGGCAGGTACCTCTGTTTCATCACCAGGAAGGCCGTAGGAGGGTGGGAGGCCAGCAATTGTTTCAGCAACCAGTTATATCCCTCCGGCGCGCTCCGACGCCCGCTTTTACTCACTTCCAAGCCAATGTTGAACACCCTTGGGCCATTTTCTTGAACTTTTAACCACATATTTGTGATGTACACACATGGGAGGACACCAAAAGTTGGTGGCCGGCCAGTAATTCCACCTGACCCTTTTGAACCCTTCCTAAAAATGGCCTATTCTCTCTCTTGTTTTACAGTTAACAATTTTGAACCACAGGGTTGTGTTGAGGGCACCTGGGAGGACACCATTTTGTGGTGGCGGGCCAGAAAATCTTTTTGACCTTTTTGACCCTTGGCCGGCCGGCCATGGGGGGTGGCCGGCCGGCCACCTGCAGCTCCAAAACCTGGCCGGCCATGATCCTTGCAGTGTGTATATTCCAACTGTATATCTGTTTTCCCTCCAAAAAACTTGTATCCGGGGGACAACTTTTGGGGGGAAACTTGGCTTGTTTTCCCCCAATTTTTCCCTCATTTTCTCCCCCTCTTTGGTCTATATACCTGGCCTCCAACATTGGTCTAAGGGTTAGAAAAATTTCCCTCAAGCCCTTGGCATTGAACCTCTCTCCCTCTCCATCTCCAAGCTTCCATCATTCCAACCCTACACCATTTTACACTACACCACCAACCCCCACCCTTCCATCCTTCATTCCAGTAGCTGGAGGCTGTTCTTCAAAGCCTAAGGAGCCACAAACTCAAGCCAAGAAGCTATCAAAATTTGGTCTTCAAGGGTGAGTAGCATTCCCTCTCTTTTGAGTTTTTTCTTGTATCATTTCTTAGCCATACATGCTTGCTGTTTTGAGCTTTGGCCCTAACTGAAAGTGGCATTTTTTTGAGCTCCTTTTCACTTTTTCTTAAGGGCCTCTCACTGTTTGAGGCCCCCTTGATACACTTGCTTCATTATCCTTCTTATATGCCATAATCTTGCATAGTATTTTTCGCCTATGTGTGATCTGTTTTGGAGCATGATGTAAACTGTAGATAGGCTTATTTTGAGCCCTTATTCAAGATTTAAGAAGGGCTCATTACTGTTTGGGACCTCCATGTGCCACTTGCCATTATACCCCTCTTTGGTCCCCATTTTTGCATGATTTATTAGCCTATTGTGCTTCTGTTTTTGGGCTCTTTTCAGAACTTAAAACAGTCCTATTTTGGCCCATTCTTCATGTTTCATTAAGGGTCTTTCATGGTTTGAGGCATATTTTATATACTTTGTGTTATATCTCTCTTTTTGGCCTCATTTTGCATAGCATTTTGGACATATTTTCATACTGTTTTGGGTCCGGCCATCAACTGTAAAATGCTTTATTTTTGGCCCCTCTTCAACATTGTTGAAGGGCCCCTTTGTGTTTAAGGCCAACAACCACTACTTGCTTCTTTGGCCATCTTTTGGCCCATTTCTTGCATGAGAGTTTAGCCATACCTGTGCTGGTTTTTGTGGTTTTCTATAAACTGTAAAAGATCATGTTTTGGGCCTCTCTTCAACTCTGTTGAAGGGCCCTAACCTGTTTGGGGTCAGCAGCTGTGAGTTGCTTCTTTATCTCACATTTAGGGCCATTTTTGCATGCTAGTTTTGCCCTATTTTTGTTCCATGTTTGGCCATGCTTTAAACTGTAAACATGCTTGTTTTGGTGCTTCCTAGCTTCTTTATTCATACTTCATGTTCAAATTATGCATGCATTGCATAGCTATAGGCCATTTCATGCACCAAAATCCATGTTTCGGGGCTCGTTCCATGCATCGGGTTTCATTTTACCGGGTTTCGGGGCTGTTTTACATATCATTTTACTTCTGATTTTTGCATTATAGTGTGCCATATTCCATGTTTTGCCATGTTTCATTAGAGTGGCATTTCGGCGCCTAAGGGTCGGTTCTCGGTTTGCGTGCACGCGTGCACGCATTTCGAGTTGTCTTGTTTTCATCTGATGGCCTCCTATGTGAGTGTGGCTGAGGCTCTCTCATGTTGGTATAAGCCCATTATTGCATTGCGTATGCCATTTCATCCATAGCATTGTGTATGCTCGGTTGTGTATCGCCTCGTGCAGCGTGTATGCCATTCCATAACATTGCGTATGTTAGGATTGTATCTTAGTTGCATTTCATGCATGTCATGCATATTGCATCGTGTTCGGGATAGGAGTTAGCCCGGGCACGGGAAACGAGGTACGTTTCGTACTCCGAGTGACGGAACGTGTCTCAATTCCCTAGCCACCGACACTCCGGATTATCCATGATGGAGTTAGGTTTTGTTGTATTTATACGTGTATTCATTCTATATTGAGTTGCACAATTCGATCCCTCGGCCATCATGCATCGATATGTGTGATTGGTGGCACGAGGATCGAGACATGCATATATCTGTGAAAATACATTGCTATGCCCCTTTCCTGCTCTCTATTGCAGCAAATCAAGAATCAGCGGTCTTCCGAGGCTTGGCACGCATTTCAAGAACAGGTGCAAACAGAGGCTAATTGGGGCATCGTCATCACCGGGCTCGGCGCATCATACTAACTGCATTTGTATTTCAATTCCAAGTTGAATACATGTTAGCTGTAGCATTCCATATGCCATGTTTAGAATAGCCGAGCCTGCTATAGTTTGCATTTTTGCATGTGTTGCATTAGGCATTTCTGTATATTTAGGATCACGCATGATTTCTAATTAGCTTCTTTTTTTTTTTTGCTTGGAGTACTCGGTACGTTTTATGCTTTAGCATCCTTGCATGCGTGTGAGTGACTGCCATGAATAGCATGCTTACCATGAGGCTATATGCTTATGTGATATAACTGCTTGAATGCTTGTGGGTGAAGGTTGGGTTACTTGGATTGGAATAAATCATCAACTGTTTGTTTTAAGCCCACTAGATAGTGGCAAAACCATCTCTTCTTAAGCCCACTTGAGGGTGGCAAAATCTGCATTTTAAGCCTACTTGCGAGTAGCAAACCATCTTTCAAAAACAAACATGAAATGCTTCGTTCCAATTCAGGCGACCCAGTCTATACTTGTATACTGTGCGCATCACATAGCAAAACTAGGCTAATAACCGGAATAAGAACACACAAAGTTTTCAAAACTAGATATCATGGTCAGTAGAGGCCGATCTTTGATCGGGCGAGCGGGGGTGCTCACGAAGTGACTTTCCCCAGTCGTACCCAAGTTCCCGAGCCGAGGCAACTTTGTTGATGACGGACACGTGGTCTTAGGCAAACGAGTTAGGGTTTCCTAAATTTTCCAAAAATAAAATATTTAGGTGGCGACTATGTATCTGGCAAAGCAGTCCATGTTTGGCACTTCTTTCAAAAATCTGTTTTTCTCAAAACGATTTGCCGGATTTGGACTCTTTGGTTCAGATTAAGAACCGTGACAATTTGAGAGTCCCGAGCTGTGGTGACCCCAAATGAACAGAACGGGAGCTCATTCCTCCCGGGGCGTTCGGGAACGTCTACAATGATAGAATGAGATTCTTGGTGCCAACATAACTGAGATGATCTTACTCATTGTGATGTATTTGCACCCATCTCTCGTAGTGATTTGCAAATATTACTTTATACTATTCATCATATGACACATATCATGTTGCCCTTCAAAACTAATTCAAAAATAGTAAAATCTATTATTTTAATTAATAAAAATTAAATTAAACGTTACATAGACTTGCCTTTAGACTGTCATATAATTTTCCAAGATTAAGAGACAATAATGAGGGTTCGTTTGGAAACTTGATTATTTTAGTTTTTTTTTATTTTTTTAACTATTTTAAATTGGCTAAAAAAGGTATGTTTAGGTGATAATTACTTTTTTTTTGTAATGGATTTAATGGTTATGGAAGAAAAAATAAAATAATTATAATAATATTTTATCTTATTAATTATTTTAACATAGTTTATCTTTATTAATTGTTTTAGTTAAAAAAAAAAAAAAAAAAAAAAAAAAAAAAAAAAAAAACTAAAAAAAAAAAAACTTCTCCAACCCAATTCCCAAACAGGAATGTGTACGTATATGATGAAAAACAGGTTGCAGCGCTTCTAAAGTCAAAAGCGTGGAACCTTAGGTTACCATTAATTTCCCATTTAGTCATCAGTCCGTCACTGCATAGAACCTTCCCTCCCTGCCTATAAATATCATTCCTTTCCACAACTCACTTCTCATTCATTCCCTATTTCTTCAATACAAACATACATACCCCTCTCTCTCTCTCTCTCTCCCTCTCTCTCTCTCTTTCTCTGTGTGTAGCATGGATTCTCAAGTTAACGTGCTTAGATGGACACCGACTCCAAGCCCATCAAGAGCGATCTCAACAGAGCCAACGAGAAAAAAGAGTGTTGTTGATGATGATGATGTAGAAATAGAAAGCTTGGCTTCTGAGGAAGATGACTTGCCTTTCAACAACATCAAAAAAACCAATTTCCCATTTAGCACTGGCCCTTCTCTCCCTCCCACTACTACCATTGATTCTCCACCACCACCACCACCACCACCACCTCATGTTGGCTCCATTGAAGCGGCATCACTGAGGGTGGTGGAGGTGGAGATCAAAAGGTCGCTGGAGGTGGAGACAGTTCATGTTGTTGAGCCACCACCACCACTGCCAAAGCAAGAAGACTACGTAGTAAGATTTAACAATCATGTGGGTGGGGAGGAAGGGGGGTCGAAGAAGGGGACCGAAATTTACTTGACGTGGAAGGAATTGTGCGTGACGGTGCCAGAGAAGAATGGTGAGAGGAGGGCCATTTTGGAGGGGGTGACTGGCTATGTTGAACCAGGTGAGGTCTTGGCCATCATGGGTCCTTCTGGTTGTGGCAAGTCTACTCTTCTTGATGCTTTAGCAGGTACTCCTCTCTTTCTTTTTTATATTTTTATTTTTTTCAGTACTGATTCTGTTAATATTGTTTCATTTGTCAATTTGTTAGTTACAGTGTTTCAAACGTGGAAATTATAATTATTATGATGATTATTATTATTATTATTATTAGTATTAGTATTATGGGTACACTTTTGAAAAAAACAAAACAAATCAAAACACAGTTCGTGTAGAAAAAAAATTAAAAGTTGTTTATAATGAACACTAAAAATTCTCATGACACATAATCTAACTCTCACATAATTTAATTGAAACGGGTGTCAATAAAAAATAAAAATAAATAAAAAAAGCATTTGCGGATCATGTGAGCCTACCCAATATATGCAGGGCAAACAAAATTCATCCTTAGCACAACTCAAAATAAATACTTTCATTTTGCAAAGAAATCAACTAAAAGATCGTATATCACTATAACATATAAGAGTTTTAGAAATCAAATTTGTTGGTCTCTAAAAGTTAAAATTTTATTGTAAAAGACACTAAGAGACCAATTTTTATAATCGTAAGGATAATCGCTAAAAGATTATTCTGAAAAGTCAAAAACAAGGCTTTTTGAAACTAAATTTTGAAAATGTCACTAAAAAATAGACTTTTAGGGATAATAATTTGGTTTCAAAATAGTTTATTTTTTGAAACAAAAAACTTTATCCCAAAAAGATAATAATTCATCACTAATGTTCAATTTTCATTACTAACAATATAATAATGACACTTTTCGTAATAAAAATATTTGGTCCCTAAAAATTAATTTTGTCCCTAAATTTTGGTCTCTAAAACTTTAATTTTTTATAATGTACATTTCTCTCATATGTTTGCTCGGTCGTTAACTTCAGGGCCCTCAGGATTAGTCCTGGCTTCCCTTAAAATCAGCGGGTTGGGGATACCTGAGTTATCAAAAAAAAAAAAAGAGAAGTCTTGGTTACAAACTATTGTAGTTGTCTCTTCTCTTGGTTTGAATAAGACTTATAATTATAATTTAGTAAAAAAAAAAAAAAAAAAAAAAAACTTACCTAATATGAGTGGATTGTATCTAATTTTGTAATTTATTTCTAGAAGTGAATTTCATGTTAGAATGAACTTGTGTTACCTATATATATATGGCCCACAAGCACAAACGCTATGTTTTTGATCAGCAAAACAAAGTTTTATTAATGAAAAAATATATAACATGTAAAATTTACATCAACAAAGTAAGTACATAACATGTAAAATTTACATCAATAAAGTAGGGAAATAGACAGAGCATCATAACTAATCTAAACAATCCCAACTAGGTTAGCACCGCAAAGAAAGTACAATTATTTGCTAGCATTTGATCTAAGATTTACGAGAAACCAATCAAAAGCAACCAAAGAAAGAGAAAAATATAGAACAGCAAACTAGGCAACAATATATCAGCAACAACAAGGAACACCAAATCAAACAATAACAGCAGCAACAAACTATGTGGTACCAAATGAAACCAGCAGCATTAACAAAAACAGCAGCAGTAGCCCGTCTTCACCAATACCAACCCAAACCAGCGAGCTACCAACCACAGCAACTGCACTTCTGCACTGTACAGCAGCAAATATAACTTTCAGCTTCACCACCAACTCTCAAGCCACACACCAGAGCCCCTGCTGTCCTGAACTCCACCCAACAAACTCTTCCAAGCAACATATCTCCCTCCATCTGCACAAACGCTATGTACTAAAAAATATATACAAAGACATTCACAATTAAAATCATTATTGACTTGAATTGTCTTCTTATTTCAAATAAGAGGGAACAACAAAAAGTACATTGGTTCTAAAGTGGAGTGCTAATAGCCATGGGTTGTTTAAGTTACATGCAATATTGTAAACAAAACATGGGAGTAATTTTCACATATTTGTCAATATTATTGGGAATGATTTTTTTAAAGAATAGTATAAATAGAAACTAGTCAAACCTTACAATTAAAAACTTGTTTAGGACCACGTACCATCCACTCTAATTGACCTACCTACTTAATTCCATGTTAATTATCCTAATACCTTGATCAAATTACTAAAACAATTCAACTTTTCAAACCTCATCACATCACAAAAATCTGTTAGTTATGTATAATTACCATCCACTATAATTGACCTTTCTAATAAAAAAGGGTAAATTACATATACAATCTTTTGTTTAAAATACTCAATATTATTTTATTTTATTTTAATTCTAGAAATTACATCCCACCCTCATAACCATAACCTCTTTCATTAATCAAGTATTAAGTCAATTAACAATTTTTCTGTGAATATATTTTAATTGACAATTATAATAATTTCATTATTTTATAGGAGAATAGTTAAAAAACAAAAATTGTTAATTTAATTAAATGGCCAATTCTGATAAGAGAACATTTGTAATTTCTATAATGGGTCAAGAAAATAGGTTTGGGGTGGCTGCTGTGCGCGCGGGGGCACAGCAACCACTGCTGTGCAACGAAATATGCTCATTTAGGGGCTCATTTCGATAATACGAACTATTCACATTTTAGAATATATCAAGTAGAACATTTCTACAAAATATCAAGTCACTTGGCTGGCCTGGAAAAACAAAATCAAGATATTTTAATTCTAGAAATTACATCCCACCCTCATAACCATAACCTCTTTCATTAATCAAGTATTAAGTCAATTAACAATTTTTCTGTGAATATATTTTAATTGACAATTATAATAATTTCATTATTTTATAGGAGAATAGTTAAAAAAAAAAATTTGTTAATTTAATTAAATGGCCAATTCTGATAAGAGAACATTTGTAATTTCTAGAACTATAAGGTATGATACAGGGAAGGTAATGAGATGAACACTCGATTACAAAAAACAATCACAAATTTCATAAAAATCAATTCGCTCTCTTATAATAAAGCATTGTTATTTAGACCCAAAAGTTAGAGGCATTTTCTACACCCAGTGATGTGTTAAAAAAATAATTAGTTGATAATTACAGAATATATCAAGTGATGTGTTTAATTATCAATCAATCATTTTTTTGGCATATCACTAGGTCAAGAAAATGGGTTTGGGGTGGCTGCTGTGCGCGCGGGGGCACAGCAACCACTGCTGTGCAACGAAATATGCTCATTTAGGGGCTCATTTCGATAATACGAACTATTCACATTTTAGAATATATCAAGTAGAACATTTCTACAAAATATCAAGTCAATCAGATATCGTTTACCCATTCATCCTCTCACATTTGTATCTATAAAAATAAATAATAATTGTGATTTAAAATATTAAAATGAATACAAATATGGATATAAACATGAAATATCTTGTATATATGCATGCTGACAGAGAGACAAATGGACAAAAAACATGAAATCCCTTGTATATTGTCTCTTGTCTGTTTCTTCATTTTTCTCTCAAAGTTTTGACTAGTCTACCTAGCTAGTTTGATTTAATATATAACTATGCAATAACGTGACGTGTTTAAGAACACTTCATGACTTTGATGAACAACTAATTGCAGGGAGATTAGGTTCAAACACAAGGCAGACTGGAGAGATCCTCATCAATGGCCGCAAACAAACCCTAGCCTTTGGCACTTCGGTATGTTTAATAATAATAATAATAATTAATTGATATAAAATAAAAAATAAAAATAAAATAAAAATAAAACGAAGTGGGATTGTTTTGGGAGATTTTTGTTTGGAAAATGATAGTATACATATTTTTAACCGGATTATTTGTTAGAGAGGACTTTTGGAAATGACTTACTTTTATTTTATATTTTTGTTGTGATCAGCAAAGACAAAGAGAATTATTTTAATTAAAAAAAAAAAGATTACAAAATAAAATCCAATGGGGATCTACATCATTGTCAATGCAACGAATTTCAATTATGTTGGCTCCCAAAGCAAACCAATCAGATGCAACTCCAAAGAAATGGCTCATTGAAATGATTCTAATTCATACCACTATCATCTATCCTTGTTTATTTTGTGGGTCTTATTTTGAACTTACAATAATAATTCGAAAAGTTTATATTCTAAATCTCTTGGCAAAGGTTGTCTGTGTAAAAAATTAATTTTATGAAATATTGATAAATAGATGAACAAATCACATTTTACTTTATAAAATAGATGACTTAAGTTTAAACTCATAGTTGTTGTTTATTTTAAAAAATAAAATATAATTTGCTAATATGCCTAGTGATTTTCAATGAAATTGAATTTTTGTATAATTTGTCTTTATTGCTAAATTTACGAGATGAATGATTCAAATAGTAGTATAGAGATAAATTATTTCAAAATTCTTAAGACATGGGGATCGAAAATTCCGGAGAAAGAATTCGTGTATGCCTTATGACAGAACGAGCTTACGTATTAACATATTTTATTCACCTTAATGGTCTCAAATTTCTCAAATCAAGTTACACAGGCATTGACTTGTAGATAGTAGGGTCATTACTTGTGAACAAAATATATTTGTGTAAATATAGAATAATGTGACAACAACTCGCCACGAAGAAAAAAGTGTCATCGAGTGTGAACTACGAAGCCAGTTTGCCATGACATGTGATATGTTTACAAGAAAAAAAAGTGTCATGGAGTGTCATGGTGGCTATATATCTCTCAATGACCTAATAATTAATTAAATTCAGACTAACAGCTTCGGGCCCTGAAATTTTATTTAAAAATTAAGATTTTTAAATATTTTAAGGCTTAAGTAGTGCTTAATTCATTATAATGAAAATGGAATAGAATGATCATTCCATTCTTAATGTCGATTATCATGTTTGATTTACTAAAAAAAAAAATACATTGCAAATGAAATTATTATTTACCATTGTAAGCAAATGGTTATTTCATAACATTTCATTTCACTTTCATTTTAGAGAATCAAACATAACATTGTTGTATCAATAGTTTAAAAAAATTAAGTTTTATCAAAGCAATTAAAAAACAACACAAGTGGTGAATAATTTAAAAACAATGAGTAATTGTTTGTCAAATGCATTGATTGTTTATATAAATATTGTTGAATTTGTTGACTACAATTGCCTATAGAAAAATAAAAATTTTAAAGTTGAAGTTAATCAAATCTTATATTCACTCAACCATATCATAAGAAACATTGATAAATTAGCTATCACAATAAAAACTGAATAAATTAATTATATTATCTATTGAAAATTATGTAGTACATAAATTAGATTATGCAAATCCAATGAATATATATCTTTTTGAGTTCTAAAGCAACAAAATCATTTTTTTTTTTTTAATCTTTTTGACTTGTAATGATGTGTTTTTATCTTAATCTATATAAGTAAATTTTAATACATAATTTTAATATATATATATATATATATATATATATGTCTAAGCAAACTTTGTGTGAATATTAACAAACAAAAAAAATATGCATACATACTATTTTACTAATAATTTCTTGTAATAAGTATAAAGGCCAGAACAAAACTCAGGGCCGACCCTAAATTAGTGCCTCATTTTATATGTTTTTCAATGAATTCTGAGGGATTGGGTCAAAGCTTAAGACTTGGGGTGTATTCTCTCCATAGTTTCAAATTCAAAATTTCCTAGCTGCAAATAATTTATTGGGACCACTACATACAAGGTTTTACCCTGTCTCTAATTGGGATTCCTCACTTGTAGATAGTGAGATTAATTCTCCGAATTAATCGAGAATACCGAGTACTAAATATATATATATATATATATTTCCTCCTATGAGACAGATGTTAGGACTTCTTTAATTAAGTTTGTATTTTTAAAATTGAAAAACAGTTGTTTGTTGTTTGTTGTTTCTTGAGATTGTTTCACTAATTAATCAACTTTTTAACTCAAAATGAGAACTTTTTCAACTTGATAATAGGCATAAGATCACCTATCACACTTCACGTTTTATCTCGTCTCATACTTTAACCATTAATTTTGGGGGAAATTATTGAATAATTTTGGAACATCACGTGGTCATACTCCAAACAAATCACTAATTACTTAGCCTCATATTGTTCCCCTACCCCCAACATAAATCGTGGGCCCCTATCCCTCTCTATCAATCAAAACCTTATGGAGTACCACGTGTCCATATTCTGGAAATACTAAATAATCATCCAAATTTTGGTGTGATCATAATATGAGAAATGTATGATATAGAAAATGAGAGAATAAGTAAGATTGATGACTCGGCTCTTCAAAATGGAACCTTAGAAACTTCTGTTAAATCTCTATTGCTTTTTTAATTTGGGAGTTGGTATTTTAGCTTAAAAATTAAAAAGTCATTAAAAATGTCAAAAAGTTAACAAACTATATAAAAAAAGAAAAAAAATGTCAAAAATTCTATTTTCTCTCTATTTTTTTTTACGCGTTTTTTTTTCCATAAAAAGTCAAAAAGTTATCCTAAACATACTAATTTTTTTACCTCATATTTTAACTGAAAAATTACTAAAATAATATGTTCCCAAATGAGTATCTCATATAAAATGAGTCAATAATAATCTTAAATCATAAATTTACAGCTTCAATTAATTAATAAATCTTCCTTAAAATTATTTATTCCCTCATTAATTATTTTGGCTGGTGGTTATGATTTTAGGCCTATGTGACTCAAGATGACACACTAATGACAACCCTAACGCTAAAAGAAGCCGTGTACTACTCTGCTCAGCTCCAACTTCCGGATTCCATGTCAAGATCCGAGAAGAAGGAAAGAGCAGAGAGCACGATAAGAGAGATGGGTTTGCAAGACTCCATGAACAAAAGGATCGGAGGGTGGACATCAAAAGGCCTCAGCGGTGGACAGAAGAGGAGAGTTAGTATTTGCATCGAAATCTTGACGCGCCCTAAGCTTCTCTTCCTCGATGAGCCTACCAGCGGGCTTGATAGTGCTGCATCATACCATGTCATGAACCATATCATCAAACTAGCAAAGCAAGATAGGAGGACTGTGATTGCATCTATTCATCAGCCAAGTAGTGAAGTCTTTGAGCTCTTTCATAATCTCTGCCTTCTCTCCTCTGGTAGAACTGTCTATTTTGGTTCCACTTCAACTGCAAATGAGGTAACATGAGCCCAAAACTTAAAAATAAAAATAAATAAATACATTAAACAAAGAAAATAATATTTTCACAAAATTGTTATACAACCTTTTTTAGGAAAAATTGCACTTCAATGCAAGTTTTTTTTTTTAAAAAAATTACAAATTAGTGGAAAATTTTGGAAAAATTTATCAATTCTAATAATTAAAATTACAAAATTTTCCTTAATTTTATAAATATTTTGTAGAAATACCACTAATTTATGATTTTCTCATTTTTTTAGGTGAATGGCATGGTGTTCTGGTATTTTTGTAAATAAAATGAGTTTAAAATGGGAGGCCATAGCTCGGTCGATTCAGTATAAAAATTTGGTTTTTAATGTTATTTTAGTATAGCACTAATCAATAATTGTTCAAAAACAAAATAATAATAAATAAATTACACTGGACCTTATACTTTGCCCTTTGTACTATTTTGATCCCTATAATTTCAATTGAATCAATTTTGACCTTCAATTTATGATTTTGTGTTAATTTGGTTTAATTGATTACAATTTTTAGTGATTTTTTTAATGAAAACTATCCAAATAAGTGACATGTGATATTTTTATAGGCAAAATTATAAATTTATTCAACTTAGTGAGTTAAAGTCAACAAACTTAGTGATCATTTTACCTTCAAAAATGTTAATTAGCGTTATTAATTAGAACAAATTGACACGAAATTTAAAACTAATGGTTAAAATCAAACTGTGTGGAGTGCTAACAAATGATAATGTATGCATTTTGGTGTAAAACGTTGTTAGGATGATCTTTCTCACTGTGATACTTTTGCATTCTCCTTTTTTTTATTGGTGATTATGTTCTTGTACTTTGTACTTTGCTTATCATTAATAAAGGGTTCTTTTTTTGTTGATAGAAAAAATGGTTAAAATCGAACTAATCGAACTAACGAAGGCTAAAATGATACAAAGGAAAAAATGCAAAGACCACTGATATAATTTGTTCAAAATAAATAAATAAATAATCAATCAATTAATAATAATCTTAGCAAGATTGCCTTTAGATTGATTAATTCAATGGAGTCATCATGGATTGGTTAATGAATTGTGGATTGTTTTGATGCAGTTTTTTGCTTTGAATGGGTTCCCATGTCCACCAATGAGGAACCCATCTGATCACTTTCTTAGAACTGTCAATAAGGACTTTGATGTGGTAAGTTTATATATTCGTTCACTACAACTCCTTATTGGATATGCTTTTAAAAAATTACATATTTTGAGTGATTAGTTTTATTCGTATATATGTGTGTATGCGTGTAGTATCCATAGAGTTTGATGAATTGTTTGCAATTCAATAGGATGTTGAACACGGATGTGGCAAAAGGATGACGACTGTAGAAGCTATTAACACACTTGTCAAGTCATACAAATTATCAGAGGCTCATCATCAAGTTGAACAGAGTGTACACGGTTTATGCCAACAGGTACACAACTCATCACTGCCGCAAATTTAGGAAAACCATAACGACTGAATAAAACTTTCACAAAATGGTCCAAAAAATAAGGACTTGGATCCCGTCCAGTCCATGATCTGGAGGGTCTTGTTCGGGTTCGTAGAGTCTATTATGAGTTCCGTTTTCATGATTTAAATTATTCATGTTGTCAGGTCTTTTGTATATCATTTACGTAAAAAATTAAGTTGCTATAATATTTGTACTTTATTCAATTTTGCATTTATCACAAACAAAAATAAATAAATGGTCTATTTTTAAAACCACACTTGCCGTTCGTTTTTTCATAAACAAATGTGGTAAATTGAATAATTTACAATTATTAGATTGACTTATTTTTTCTTATGAATAATATATAGAAAGGGTTCAATAAAATAAACAGTTTGAATTATCAATATAGGACTCATCGTAAATCCTACGGGCTCAAACACGGACTAGAGAGAAGCCCATTCTCCCAAAATAATGCCTTTCACAACGCTGCATTCACTACGATGAAATCCACACTTTATTAGAATTAAAAAAATAAATAAATTATTTGGCTATGATTTTTTAGAGTTATAATTGTGATAAAATTAATTTTTTACAAAATTCATCTATGCTTTTTACAATGGTTTAAATCATATTGTTTATTTTTTTAGTGAAAGTTTTTAAAGTTTTTGCATTAAAATTTTTATTTTTCAAGTCTTTTTAGTCAGCAAGAATTTTTTTTTTAAAAGAACAAATTAACTTACTTAAACTTTCCTAACAACACAAATATATATATATAATTTTTAACATCGAAATAATTGTCAAATCGAACCTAAATATAACACTACCACACTGAAATTTAGACATTTCAAATGTAATTTATTTTGGATAGGCAAAATTATGTATAGTATAGAATTTTGAATGGAACTCAAGGCGTCATAGTCATAATAGACTAAAATGGAAAGACGTGTTTTAAAAGGCTTTTGTTTTACTTTTTTATGTTTTGTTATGTGTAGAATGGAGGAACAATGGAGAAGAAGGGAAGTCAAGCAGGGTTTATTAATCAGTGCCTTGTTCTCACAAGGAGATCTTCTGTGAACATGTATCGAGATTTGGGTTATTACTGGCTTCGCCTTGCAATTTACATAGCACTGTGCTTATGTGTTGGGACTATCTACCATAACATTGGCTCCAGTTTTGGCTCCATTCAAGTAAATAACTATATATATATAGCTAACCAAACTAATATGTACACATTTGATTTGTCTTTATCAGCATGTTAATCCACAAACATGTAATGAACTATTTATTTGCTTCTAATTTGTGTAGGCTAGAGGTTCGATGCTCATGTTTGTTGCAGCATTTTTGACTTTCATGGCTATCGGTGGATTTCCTTCTTTTGTCGAGGACATGAAGGTACTTTATAAATCTAGATCACATATTTTCTACTCTTAATTTTGAAAATATACCGACCTTTCACATGTTGGTCGTTCCCACACTGTATGGGCCCTACTAACATATGAGAAATACATTGGATAAGGTCTATATTTAAAATAAATTTGGATGTCTCTATTTTTCTTGATAAAATTTGGAATATTTTTTGTGAGCACCTAGAATTATTATTATGGGAAAAGTTTGTGTGTGTCAAAAAATACATTGATAATGTATTGACATTTCACAAGTTCATGGCTCCCAAATTATATGGGGCTCCCTCAATAATACCTTTCTCGATGTGCATAATATTGCTTCTTGTTCTTTAATTTTGTATAACTTGACAAGAAGTTGCTATACAAACTAACAATTAGTATTACAAATTTTTCTTATAATATGACAGTTGTGCCATCATTGACAAAGAAAATTTTATAAAATTTGTTTATTTGTATAGCATGACTCATTTGGACATTAGTTTGATTTTTTTCCCTCCTTTATTTCCTTGTGAAAATCAGATTTTCACCCGAGAAAGGTTAAACGGACACTATGGGGTTGGTGCTTTTGTTGTGGGAAACACATTTTCTTCCATGCCATACTTGTTTATGATCTCTGTAATCCCCGGGGCAATGGCTTATTACCTCACCGGACTTCAAAAAGGACTTGATCATTTTGTCTACTTTGTTGTTATGCTCTTCGCGTGCATGTTGCTAGTCGAAAGCCTAATGATGATTGTCGCCAGCATTGTTCCTGATTTTCTCATGGGAATCATAACAGGTATTAAATTATTAATATGTTGTTTTCCATCTGACTTTGCTTTTAATAAACTCATTAAAAGCTTCAATCTCTAGAGAGAGAATAACTTTATGTTATTTATATTCTCGATATGCTCTTCTGATGTGGCCAGACTCTCCTTTATAAATGGTCTAAATACGTGCAAATATTTTAGGACAAAATTCAGTTTACTCCCCTATGGTTTGGCCTTGGAGCACTTTACCCCCTTATCTTTCAAATATAAGCGGAAATCCTCCTATGGTTTTGGACTAAATTGCAACTGCCACATTTTCCGTCTGATCTAACGGAGTGTGCAATCCACTCACCAAATTCGAGAGTGGGCATCATTTTTAAAAATTTAAATTAAATTAAACTAGAAAATGACAATTATACCCTTATCTTCCTCATTGATTTCCAAATCCACCATCTTCCTCTGTCATTCCCAGATCCAAAAACTGTAACCCTTACCCATCATCCCTTTCACTACCGACCATCGTCATCACCTCTTCTCCTTTCCCTGACCACCGCTATCGCCTATTCTCCTCTCTCCTACCATTGTCACTGCCTCTTCTCGCCTTTCCAACCTGAGTCCTCTAATATTCTTAACCATTGTCGATGGCATCCATCCCGTGATCACTTCGTTTCAGTTGCTTCATCTCTTGATTATCGCTTTTGTTGTTCGCTCTATATAATTTTGTATCCATTATGTATGTATATTTATTACAATATGGTCCATTATGTATATAATAGAAGAGAGAGAGAAAAAAAACGAAAACAAAAGAAAGCAAAATGTGACAACAAATTAGAGGGGTATGTTGGTCATTTTACATATACTTTTGACAGAGTTAGAGCTGCAATTTAATCCAAAATCATAAGAGGGTTTTCTACCTATATTTGAACGACAGGGGGTAAAGTGCCCCGAGGCCAAACAACATGAGGGTAAACTAAATTTTGCCCAATATTTTAATGATTGAATAAGCAATAAACTACGAACATATTATTTTCTTTACTAATACATTAAATTATTAACTACCAACTAATTTCCAAACCTAAACTATTAAAAAGAGGAATAATTTAATTATTTATATTTTGAATGATAGGAGCTGGAATTCAAGGCGTGATGATGTTGAATGGAGGCTTCTTTCGATTGCCAAATGATCTTCCAAAGCCATTTTGGAGATATCCAATGTACTACATTGCCTTCCACAAGTATGCAAACCAAGGGTTCTACAAGAACGAGTTCGAAGGACTCACTTTTCCTAACCCAACAGGAGGGTTCATTAGTGGAGATGAGATATTGAGAAGTACTTGGCAAGTAGAGATGGGTTACTCCAAGTGGGCTGATGTGGGTATTTTGCTGGGGATGGTGGTTCTATATAGGCTCATGTTTTTGGGAATTGTAAAGACTGTTGAGAAAGTTAAGCCCATTCTCAGGTCTCTCATGGCTGCTTCTTCTAAACAGTCGACACATATGGAAGATCCTTATTCGACACCAGTACATTAATCAAGAGTATTGTAATTATGTTCCTGATCAGTGACTTGTTGGTTTGATAATTGTGTGAGTAATGTATTTTGTGAGTGATAAATAACAGCTGAGTGTCAATCATAATGGTTGGAGTAGCTTTTGTTCTAAGTGTGAGACTTAATACAAAACAAAAAGTTGTAATCGTAATTTGTGTTACTATTCTACATGTCCCTAGTATAATGAAGTGTGTCGTTTCTTTTAGTCTAAAGGGTAAATTACACTAGTCTATCCGAGCAAAACAAATACACCCGATAAGCTTGATGCAATTACTTAGGTTCCTTAAAAGTTTTAGTTCACGCAATGTTTGGAAACATTGAATAAATTAGCTATCACAATATGTTGGACAAATATGTTGTATGTAATCTATTGAAAAATATGTTGTACATAAGTTAGATTATGCAAATTTAATTAGTATATATCTTAGGAAAAAATTTGAATGGAACTCAAGAGGTCATAGTCATATTAGCCTCAATTGGAAGGACGTGTTTTAAAAGGCTTTTGTTTTATTTTGTTTTGGTTTGTTATGTGTACAATAGAGGAACAATGGAGAAGAGGGAAGTCAAGCAAGGTTTCTTAATCAGTGCCTTGTTCTCACAAGGAGATCTTTTGTGAACATATATCGTGATCTAGGTTATTATTGGCTTCGCCTTGCAATTTACATAACATTGTGCTTATGTGTTGGGACTATCTACCATAACATTGATTCCAGTTTTGGCTCCATTCAGGAAACTAACTAACTATATATAGTTAACTAAACTAATATGTATGCATTTGATTTTTTTTATATGAGCATGTTGATCCACAAACACATAATGAACTATTTATTTGCTTCTGATTTGTGTAGGCTAGTGGTTTGATGCTCATGTTTGTTGCAGCATTCTTGAGTTTCATGACTATCAGTGGATTTCCTTCTTTTGTTAGGACATGCAGGTTCTGTATGAAACATCCGAAATTGTCCAAAGCTTCTTTCACAATAGACCAAACATTCCCTCTCTCTCTCTCTCTAAAACCTCCGCCCCCAGGCCTCTTTTTTAGGCCAGCCGGCCGCCGTCTTTGGCCATGGTGGTCGGCTGGCCTAGCTTGTTCTTTTTCTTGTGTTTGCTTGTTAGCTTTTTCCTTCAATAAACTTGATTCTCCTATTTTTCCCACCTTGGTGTGTATGTGTTGCTGCGGTAGAATTTGTTTTGGTGTTTCGGGGTCCGGTTTAACTGTTGTATCATTCATTCGTGCGCTCTTTTGCGAGTAGGAGTTTGAGGGATGAACTCTGACTCAGATTTGGTGGAAATGTATTGATGCTTTGTTTGGGCGGAACTTGGGTGTCGTAGTCGATCCAGATCTGTTTAATTTTTCATTCGAGCGCTCCTATTCGAGTGAGAGTTTGAGGGGTGAACTTATTCCTATTGTTTAGAGGTGTCCCAGCGGTGCATGGGTCTGCAGTATGAGTTGGTTGGTGCATGGGTCTGCAGTGGGTGTATAGAGGTGTCTCGGCGGTGCATGGGTCTGCAGTGGGCGTTGGTCGGTGCATGGGGCTGCAGTGGGTGTGAGCAAGAAAAGAGGTGTAAGAAGAAGTCCTGGTGGGAGTTGATTTGTGGGTGAGTTTAGTGGTGGCAGTGGGTGTTGTTCTATTTTCGGCAGCTTATGTTGGAGCTGTAATGCCAAGTTTCAGCAAGGGAGTTGAAGCAGCTTGGAGTCTTCTCGAGTTGCAGCAGGGGAGTTGCACCATGGAAGTAGTTGCTTGTGGCGTGGGCAGCAGCGAAGCATCTTCAAGCTTTTTCCCCGTGTTGGCTATGGAGCCTTATCGGTCCGGTTAATAGCTTAGGTGTGGCTGGTGTAGGCTTTGTGGCGTGGGCAGCAGCGCAGGCTTTGGGTGTTGGGAGTTGCAGCATCTTAGGGGTGGCGTGGGCAGCAGAGTAGGCGTGGGTGGTGAAGGCTTTGGGAGTTGTAGCTGCAGAGGTGTGGGTCTTGGCAGAGTGGGTTGGTGATTAGACTTTAGTTTGGGTGGTTCGGGCAGCTTGGGTGTTAGTTTAGTTTATTTGGTTTGTTTTGGGTGTTTTGGTGGGTTGATTATGTGGGGATTCTTGTATTTTATTTTCTAGTTAAGTCCTTCTTAACTCTTTTTGTTTAAAAAATTGAGAGGCTAAGGGATTGGTTGTATGGATGCGAGTAGCAGTAGTAGGGGTATTTTTATACTTTTCGAATCTCTCTCGATGTATGTCATCTTCATGTACTCTTAATTTCATGCTGTTTAAATGAAATTTTTCTTTGCTGATCAAAAAAAAAATGAAGGTTCTGTATGAATCTAGATCATACATTATCTACTCTTGATTTTGAAAATATACCAACCTTTCACAGGTTGATAGTTCCCACTTTGTGTGGTCTATACTAACGTATCATAAATATATTGAATGAGGCTTACAGTTAAAATAAATTTCAACAACACCATTTTTCTTGATAAAATTTTAAATATTTTTTGTGAGGACTTACAAGTATTATTATGGGACAAGTTTGTGTGCGTCAAAAAATACATTTGCAATGGATTGATATTTCACAAGTTTGTGGCTCCCAAACTATATGGGCCCACTCAATAACACTTTTCTGGATTCACATAGCATTGCTTCATGTTCTTTAATCTTGTATAATTTGACAAAAAGTTGTTATACCTACAAATTAACAGTTACTATTACAATTTTTTCTTTTAATGTGATAGTTGTGTCATCATTGACAAAGAAAATTTTGTAAATTTTGTTTATTTGTATTGTGTAACACTGCCTGGGGGTACCCGCACGCATTAACAATTTGGACCCTCAATTTTTTCGATCAAGTGTCACGAGTGCAATGTGAAACGTAGATGAGAATGCAGATTTGGCAACTTTTATAGAAAATCCATTTTATTACAAATTCTTTGCCAGAAAATGGAATACATGACCAGATTTTAGAGTCGCCACCTAATATTGTGAAAAAATTAAGAAACCCGTGACTCGTACCAAGGCCACTGTTTGTCGTAACCAGGGATGCTTGGCTCGAAACCTTAGGTATAAGGAGGGGAGGCCATTATTTGAGAACCCCCCGCTCACACGATTAAAAGATCAGCCTCTACTAAGCCATAATATGATTTTTATTAATTTTATATGTTTATATTCAGGTTATTTAATAAATCCTAAAATTTACTATACAAAGCAAACAAATATAAACTGTGTCGTCCATTTTAGAACAGCTTGATTTCATTATCTTGAAAATGTTTTGAATAGTGCAATCATGAAATTTAATTTTATTCCAAATTAAATAACATGACTTTCACCCACTGGCATGCATACAGTTATATCAATTAAGCACATAACCACATAGTAGGATGCTAAACATAGTAATAAAATCACACACAGACAGAACGCTAAAGCACAAAAACTTACATATTTACTAACGTCTCGCAAATAGGTACAAAAACAAAGTTGGTAAACAAATGCATAATCCTATATACAAGATCCTAATGCAATTCACTTATAAAATGCAACTAAAGATCCAGCTTTTGATATATGACATGTGAATCATCTCAAGGCATGGTGTAGTGCACCAAATTCCATAATAATCAATTAAACTCACAAATGTAAATTTAGTTGAATCTTAAGACATGAAACATGGATGCAAGGCATGGATATCATGAAAAGAAAAAAACATGCATATTTACAGAATATGGAAAACAAAATAAAGAATGGGATAGAAAGAAACGGGGCGAGAAATTATGAAAACTTTGAATATTACCAATCCGAATAAAGGATGAGGGGAATAAAATATTACAACAAAAATTAAATCCTCACAGTTTCTCTAATTAAAACAAAATCTAAACAAAAATAGAAGCTTCAGGGGGGCCTTAGAGACCATTGGGAGGCTGCTGGGTTTTGTCCAGAAAAACATGGCTGGCCGGCCAAAAGATGAGCTGGCCGACTAAAAAGTTGGTTGGCCGACCAATTAATCAGCCAAACCGAAAACTCTGTTTTTTTCAAACACTAGAAAAACGAACAAAAAATATGCAAGTGGCTTAACTAACCACTTCCAATTAGCTTACAACATGTTTATAACGCGAAATTGAAACAAGAAAACAATATTAGAAAGAAAATGCAAGAAAAGTAGAACAAAATGAAAAATGTGAAAATTTACCTTCCAAGAAAAGATATGATTTTCAAACTTCCTTTTGATCACCCTCAAGCTTAGGACGTATGTTCTCAATTCGAAATTCGAAATTTCAAAATTCTAGTTAGAATAGGGTTTTGAGGTTGTTTAACAGTGTGTTGAGAGGGGGAGTTACAACTCTCTGTTTTTCTCCCAATTTCAATAACACTCACTCTCTTTTGATCAAGGTTCAAGAATATGGATATAACTGAATTTATGAGATGGTTTTGATATATTGAAAGATGGTATGTCGGTATATAGAAAAATAGAAGTGTTTTGGCTCAAAACATAAACTTCTCTTCTTTTTTTTTTTTTGTCTAACTCTCAATTCAATTCTCTTTATTCAACTCTCTTCTCTCCCATCCATTTTGATCCTCTCTATCTCTACATAGAATCAGGGAAGGTTACTAAGTCAAGGAGAAGGTAGGAGACAAGAATGATGGGGTGATAAGGGTGGTTGAAAATGGATACCACCTTTTGAGAAGAAGACAATCCCCCTTTTGACAATGGATACCAAAAACGGATAATGGAGGGGGTGGGTGTGTGCCTCGTACATGAATATAACAAGAAAATATCTAAAATGGCATGACCCATAATTCTTCCGAAATTGCGCTGCTCCTGGGCAAATTAGCCGGCCGACCAATTTCTTGGCCAACCGGCCAAAAAGTTGGCAAGCCGACCAATTAATTAGCCGGTCAGCACTATTCACGTGCACTAGTTGGCCCGCCAACACTATTGGAAAAATTTTTTCCTTTCTTTTTCTTAGGAAAAACAGGGTTTTTCAGCAAAATTATTGGAACTATGCATAAAATGAATATTTTAAAAGAGAGTTTTGAATGAGTCTAAAACACTTGGCTAAAATAGGCTTAGTATTGGGAATGAAGTATAAATTCCATCTTTCTTTCTAAGAATTATGTGAGAAACACATTCTAATTTTCATCATCGAGTAATCAAAAGAAAGCACCTAAGTCTTAGAGCCGTTCAAAATGGGGTGTCTACAGTTGCTCCTCTTTGACAGAACTCAAAGTCATTTCTTG